ACTTAAGTTCAGAAATTGATCGTTTGTTCCATGGCCACCTCAGGGAGATAGATGAAGAGTGCAAAGCACTTTCTTTTGCCAGGATATCTGCTTCATCGTTTTCTTTTATTCCACTATGTGCTTTAACCTTTCCTAATCTAATTTGCAGCTCTTTTAGCCTGATTATGCGCTGAATCAGCTCCAAGAAGCACTGGTTTTTCTTTTTAACCACATTATATGTTCTTTTTGGGCTTAGGCTTGCTTGAATTGCCTGTATTGCGGCTGCACTGTCAGTAAATATCTCGACTGCTGACTTGTATGGAGCTGCTAAAAGAGCTGTCCATATTGCATCTAACTCAGCCTTCGTAGACGATGGCCAGTCCTTGATTGCGCCTCGAAATCTGGCTATTATATTTTTGTGTGTTTTAGAATGGCATGCTGAAATGGAAACCCAACCCAGACCTATTTTCTTTTTTTCTGGTTCTTCCACTGGATTAAGTAACGAGCCGTCAGTATAGAATATGATTCACCTTCTTTCTCTTAGCTGAGATGCTACTTTTTTAATCTCCTTTATAGCCTGTGTGTCTTCAAAAGCTTGATTTATAATCTTTTCTTCTAGTGGATAAATGGGTATGTTTGCAACTGAAGATTCTCATATGCCCCTTGTTGTGTTTAGGCTCTTCTCAAATCGCTACGATGTATCTACAATACTACTAAGTGGAGTGACTAATTTCATATCTGGTTCTGTGTCGATACTTTTCGTACAATTTTTGGAGAAATTTCCTGCATCTTATTTTTCTTTAACCTTCTCTTGCAAGAAATTTTATCATCTGAAAGCTTTGTTGAGCCAAATTCGCAGTCTCTGCATTTAACTAATTTGACTGTTATTTTTTGCGAATCTTCTGTGTTCCCAGTGTTCTACTAAGATGGTTTTCTTTCTCTTTTTCTTTGCGATTTTCCCTATTAGTGTCTTGTTTTTAGCCTTAAGAAGTACCTATTCTTTTTTCCTTTTATCGTTGCTTATTGGTGATAACTCTATTTTGGGGGTCAAGCAATTGGGTGTCTTGGTTTTAAACTCTGCCTTGATTTCTCTGCTGATCAGGTTTTTAATTATTTTTTCCTCTAGCTTTTTAACCCATGATGGAGTCTTCCCCCTCGCTTTTTGCCTCTTGCATTTCTTGATCTAGCCCAAGTAAACATTTTTTGCCCTATACTGTCAAGCATCTGTTCTAACACCAGAATACCTGTTTCTTTTTCTTGTAAAAAGTCTTTAATCGATTTCTCATCCAGGAAGTTTATAATTTCTGCTTCAGCTTCTGAAAGTCTTAAGTTTTCTTCTTTTTTTCTGAATTGTATACTTATGTTAATGTTTTTTGCTTCACTCAGGATTTTATATACAAGGTTTTGTTTGAGCTTAATCTTCTTCAGTCTTACTGCATCTAGACTTGTTATACACTAAGTACTTTTACCATCTAACTGAGCTTGCTGAATTCTAATCCACGTGGCTTTGTCAATTTCATTGTTTTTGTTTATACATTTTTATAGCTCTGTGATATAATGGGCCATCTGATTTTGCCACAATGTTTTAAGGCCAACTATGTTTTTATATGCCAAGATTGCGTTTGCCGTGGTGCTAGCTAAGCCCGATTTATTTTTAATTAGCTTTAAAATGGGGCTTTGAAATTTGTCACATTGCTCTCTTGGAATTATGCAATGTTGTAAATGATATTCCAATCTTGGGATGAGTACTCTATTGTTGATATAGATGAGTTGCGCTAGCGAGGTGTTCTTCTTATAGATTGCTATGCTGATCGCTTGTATTTCTTTCTTTGCAATACTTCTAATATATGACTGATCATGTTTTTTGGATAGCCAAATACCAAAAAATCTCGTCAGCTCGCTTGCCTTCTTTTCGAATACTTTTGCTCTTGGTGTACCAAATTCTATATATCTAGATTCCTTTATTTTTTTCCCATTTATTATAAGCAGCTCCGATTTCTTGCTGTTGATTTCAATATTATTTATTTTGTAAAACTCTTGCACTATACTGATTGTTTCTTCCAGTTCTTTCTTGCTCGATGCTACGAAGATTGTGTCATTAGCGTACGCAATTACAGAGATTCTTAGGCTATGCCGCCACGTGTGATTTCTATTCAGATCGCTTGGCCAGTTCACTTTAAGCTCATAACCACGCTTTTTATTCTCTTGAATTTCCATTAGCAGAGGGTCGTAAAATATTCTCCATACGAGAGGAGATATAACTTCTCCTTGATCAATCCCATCCCTGCTACAAATCTTTGAGTGGTTCCTAGGCTTGTCAAAACTTCCATTTCATGGTTATCGAAGAGGTTAATGATGAAACGTGTTAATGGCTCTGGGATTTTAATTCTTTGCAGTACGATTGTGAGCATTTTAAGCCCTACAGAGTCGAATACCTTCTTCATATCCTGGAATAAAAGCCATATTTCCTTTTTCTTTTCTTTTGCTTCCTCAACTAAGCAGTTAATGAGATGCACTAGTACAGCTGTGCCCTCTCCTGGGAGGCTTGCGAAGTTCCTGCCTTTTAATACCTCTTTTTCGTTTAGAATTTTTGCTAGCCTATTTGTGATCACTCTTACAACTGTTTTCCAAAATGATTCCAACAATAAGATTAGCCGCACATTGTTTAGATTGTAACACCAGTTTTCTGTCTTAGATATTGGGTACAAGATACCTAGTTTTCACTTTTTTTGGCATAGTGCCTTCTTCTATATATCTGGAAGCAAAGTCAAGAAAGAACTTTCTTGTAGTAGAGCTAGTGTTTCTTATTAGTGAGTATGTGATACCTGTTCTTCCTAGAGCTGACTTGGTCTTGATCTGCTCCAGAGCTTGCTTTCATTTAGCTGGGCTAATCTTGTTTGTTGTATCTTTATACCAAGACTCATTAATATCTTCTCGAGGGGTGTATTAGTTTTTCTATCTTGTTGGCATAGCCTCTAACTGTACTGTGTTTCTTGTACGGAATTGCTTTTCAAAATATTCTTTGACCCTCTTTTAGTACGTCATCTGGCTCGTAAATTAGTTCTGCTTCTTCTTCTGTCTTCTTCACTACTCTATCTATTTGATCCTTCTGTGAGGTCGGTCTAAGAGGCTATTGAGCATTTTCCATTGGTTGGTGACAATTATACTATGCTTTTCTTCTATACTTTCTCTAATCTCTGCTTCTTCAATACTTCTGATTCTTTTACGCCACTTTTTGTGCAGAATTTTTGCCCAGTTTTTAAGGCCCTCTGGGCTTAATACGTCTGTTTTATCTTCTATATCATTACTAACCAAGGCATCAACCTTCTCTAATGCACTAAGTATATTGTCTTTAACTATGTCTTGTAGTGGTCCTTTCTTCACTTTACAATAGTCTTTGTTACATGCTTTTACCGCCAGTCTTAGTGCATGTACTTCGTCATTTTCTCTGCTAATTTTCAGGATTTCTGATAATTTTTCTTTTTTTAGAAGACTTGTGCTTGCCGCTGCTCTGATACATTCTTTGATTATATCCCACTCCTCATCTATGCTTTTGGGTTTGCGCTTGTTCTAGCGGTCTTTAATCTTCTTTTCAAGGCTCTCTCTATACTGAATCCAATCCTCTTTAGAGGCTTTACTTAGATCTAAGTTGACTCTTTTTCTGTTTTCTCGTCTTCTCTTAGCTACTCCTGTTTTCCTTATTTCGAGTTTTGTAGCAATACTTGCTCTTATTAATTTGTGATCACGCATAATGAAGAGATCCATATTATCAATCTTGGTACTAATTATGCCACTTTTCCATCTATCTGATACCCATATGTAGTCTATTATAGTTTCTGCTTTACTGTTTGACCAGGTTGGGGTGCAAGCCAAATCTTGCATATCATACATATTCTTTTCTTTTAGAAGCGCTACAATTTGTTGCTTTATCTTGGACTTATAACTTATACTTTCTACTTCGCTATCTGCTAGGTCTGGTGTAATGATATTAAGATCTCCCAGGATTATAAAATGCTGCGGCTTTCTGTTGGGTCTTTCTAAAGTATCTCTTAGTATATGCAAAATTTCTTTCTGTCTTGTTTTGTCATTTGGGGCTACATATAGAAAGATTATGATTATTGTCAGGCCTTTAAAGTCCAGAATGAGCTTTAAAAAATATAGATTGTTCCTTGACATATGTGTAATATGTTGTTCTTAATATTTCTTGATCAGCATCCCTAGGCCTGATCCTTTTTTCTTGCCCTCTTCAGAGCTTGCCCAAAAACTTTTATATATCTTTGTATCTCTTGTTGCAAAAGTGCCTTCTGTGTTATTGATGTTGGTTTCTTCTAAACCCAAAATATCTAATTTCTTTTTTTCTGCAAAATCTATTACTGCCTTTAGCTTGTTTTTGTTGTTTTTTATCCTATTAATATTATGAAACCCAATATTTAATACCTGAATAGTTCATATATTGCAGCTTTCTCCTCTATTATGTTTGGGAGCCTCCTCTTTGGACCTTCTTCTATTGGCTCCCTTTCTTTATTCTTTTGAGGTCCAGAGTAATCATTTAATTGATGATCTGCCACTCAACAGGTGCATACTATTAGTGTAATATGACACGGTTTACTATATAAATCTATTATGATGCGAATGTGGCGATCCCCCAAGTAAAACTTTTTTTCTTACTAAGTTAATCGATCTTGTCGATTAATTCAAAATTGTAGAGCTTATCTTTGCGGTTCTAATAGTGATTAAATCATCCAAATGAGCTCTACAATTTTCAATTAATCGACAAAATCGATTAACTTAGTAAGAAAAAAAGTTTTACTTGGGGGATCACCACATTCGCATCATAATAGATTTACATAGTAAACCGCATTACGTTATACTAATAGCATGCACCTGTTGAGTAGCGGATGTGCCTTTGGCGCCCTTAGGAGCAATACGCTAAGGAGCTGTCTATCAAAGGCCCCTTTTGATTTTTGAGCTTGTCGAGTCTATCCAAAATTTTTGACAGCATATTGTGAATTGAGTTGTTGCTATTGGGTCTGAATTGTTCATAGGTTTTGTTTTCCTTTGGGTTTTGGGTAGCCAGTTCTCTTTTTCATAATTTTTCTTTACCGATTGGCTATTGTGCTTTGCCAATTTTACTGTATTTCTAATAATTCTTTGTCCGAAAAATCTATTAACTTTGGGCTTTCCTTCTTCGTCACCTAGTAAGCTTAAATCTTCTCTTTTCCTTTTGGCTTCCGTAATGTTAGACTCTACAGATTCTTCTTTTTCTTTTTCTTTTTTTTGGTTGATAAGTCTTGCTGTAGAGTTTTCTTTGTAGAGCCGGTTGCTTGTATAGCTTCCTCTTTCATACTCCTCTGCCAAAATTCGCCATTCAAGTTTAGTATTAAAATAATACAGGCCTGCACCTTGGGCTTGTGACATGTCTTGTTTTGATTTAAAATATATATATGCCTTTTTGTTGCGATTACCATGCCGATTTTCAAGAGTGTGGACTGCCTGTACCTTGTACTTTTTTAAATGACGTAGGAGTAAACTGTCGTATGCTGTTCTCGGAACATTATAAATTATGCTTTTAAATCTGTTTCTATCTTCAAGCTCAATATAGTTGAATTTGCCTGGTGTTGTTCTGTATATTCTGCCCTGATTTAACTGAACCGACTAACTTTCTCTCAAAGCACTCTCTCGGCTTTCTATATTGCACACTATTTTGATATATGCTGCTTTTGTAGCAAAGCTATATTGCCAAGCCATAATTGTCACTAAGCCAAAAAATTCTAAATAGTTTTTGATTTCATTCCTGCTCATTTCTTTTGGGATGTCTTATATTGTAAACAGATATTGTGATTAGACTTGTTAGTGAAACTAAATCACGCTGGTGAAACTGGTGACTATCTAAAATCTGATTGGCTATTGCATTCACCAGCCAATCAGATTTTAGATAGTCACTAGTTTTACCAAGTTTCACCAAGTTTCACCAGTTTCACCAACAACTCTAATTGTGACTTAATTATATTCTTTTTGGTGCCGAATTTCTCTTTTGGTGCTCATGCTGAGTTATAAATGTTCTCAGAGCTTTTAGATCTTTTGTTATACCTCTTGGCTTCTGGCTCTTTGTTGTTAAATAACCCTTTGACAATTTTCTCTTCGAGCCCATAGTCTATAGTGCCACACTCACTATTAACTAAGGTATTTATTTTAATCTCAAGATTGCTTTCGACTATATGTTCATTCATTTCATGCTCCGAAAAGTTCCTTTTGCATGTGATACTATGATCTTCGGCTAATACAGGTTTACTGTGTTGAGGTTTTACTATCTTGGGATCTGTAATGCTTGCTACCATTAGAATTGCTTTAGAGTTTTTACTAGTATTCAAATTCTATGAATTTTCTAGAGTAGTGTTGTATCCAAGGAGGATTTTTTCCTCAAAAGATATTTCTTGCTCTCTAATTTCTTTTTGTCGGGCCCAGTTGTATAAATGTAGCACATTGTGTATAGTTGCTATTAGACAAGTATCTTCTGTATTTAGATACTTTGCAATATGTCTGTCCTCTTTTAATACTATTGCATAGAGCCCGCTATATATTGCTAGTTTCTCTTCTTCTAACTTTTTAAAGAAGTTCTTGTATTTTTCTAACTCTGTCATCTTTTGCACTCTTGCTTCATGTGATTAGAAAGTGTTTAACACATAATATTTTACTGCTAGGCTTGGTGTTCAAAAGTACGTGTTTTTACGTATTTTGCACGTAATTTTACGTGTTATATCTATGTCTTAACTTGTATATAGTTGTGTGGCTTTGCATAATACAGTTGCGTTATATTAACAATCTGCAATACAGGGTTATCGCTATTTTCCCTAATGTTGTCGATACGATGGAAGTTTTTTGCTATGACAAGATAAAGCCTAGAGCTGCTACTTCTATACTCTAATACTGTTGTGTTTTGAAGCTTTGCTAACCCTTCTTACTCCCTGCGACTATGTGTTGCTGTTTGTGTTCAGCTAAAAATTATCTCACTTAAGTATTGATATATAGTGATTATCCTTATAATATGGCTTTTCTCTCTTTCTACTTGTTAGGTTAACTACTACTACCAGCTTGTTGCAAGTTAGCTACTTCTCGCAGTCTTTTTTTGTTTACCATTGCATTTGTTGTAGTGTGTATTGCTGTATTTTATTGCAATAAAGGCTCTTGTCTTTTCGCTATTTTTGGTATCAAATGATTGTCAGGAAGAGTTGTTATTTTGGATATTACATTGTTAGTCTGTAATATTTAGCTTTAAAATTATACTATATTATCTAAGCTATCAATATTATATCAATTTTTTTTAATATGTCTTATCCTTACTATATTTTATCCCTAGTACTAATGTACTATTTGCAACCAATTAATTCTTGTTAAAAAGTTAACTTATGCTTTTTTTTTATTAATTGTGGCATGGTATAGTTGAAAGAAAAAAATTTTTTCTTTTATACTAAATTTTTTTGTTATATGATATTATATTATAGATTTGGGTATTACGATTCAAGTATAAATTAAAACCTAGAACCAAATTATTTTAAAAATAATGAACCCAGAACCGAATTGGAAGTCAGTTTTAGTTTAGTTTTAGTTCTTCGGTTTGGTTCTGCAAAACACTACTTGTAACCAACTATAGAATTATCTATTTAAACTTTCTAGTCATAAATATGTTATTCTTTTATCTAATCAAGGTATAATTAATAGCTAAACTCTTTCCAACGATCACTAAAACCAAATTTTTTCACTAATAAAAAAACAAAATTTTTTGTTGAAGAGTCGTGGTTTACATTATAGTTTGTCTAAAGATCAACGTTAGCTGTGTTTTGGGACTTCTCTAAGTGGAAATAACATAATTATGTTATTTCCACTTAGTCTAGGTTATTACCACTCAGGTATGACGACAGAAATGCATCACCATCGTCAGTGTTGTGATGACAAAAATGCGTCACCGTCGTCAGAGATATATTAGTATTCGCTCCATCATTCGAGTGACGAATGATTCACGCTTGCGTTGTCATTCGAGTGACGAATGATTCACGCTTGCGTTGTCATTCGAGTGACGATTGGTTCACAAGTTCGTCGTCACACTTAGGTACCCATGATCTATAAAAAATATGATGACATATTTGTGTTCACATCGTCACACTTAGATACCTCACGATCTATAAAAAATATGACGATAATTTTATATTCACGTCGTCACACTTGGCTTTATCACGAGTTTGACAACCTGATTGCAATTTGTATATCGTTTGTGGAGGCAAATATATCACGCAAATGCTATCGAGTGCTATCAATTATGTTATCGAGTTATGCTATCGAGACATGTTATCAGGTATATGTTATCAAATATGTATACGAAATATATCGCGCAAATACTATCGGGTTTGCTATATACACGCTATCTGGTTATGCTATCGATTATTGCTACCAAAT